TCTAACTACAGTAAACCATCATTAATCCGAAGTAACTCGGGGGAGAGGTAGCCCCAAAACACAAAACACTCAGAACACAAATAAATGGCAAATTTGGTGATATAATTAGTGGTGATGAAAATAAATAAAAAATATCACTGTACAGCCTTTATTTAAAAACTACAAAAAGACAATGAATTTATTCAACTGAAGACTTGGAAGTTGTATTTATTTTTTAATGTAATAATGCAAGCATGAAGAAACTGTCAAGTTTTGTCTGAACAGACATGAAACTCATCTGCCTTCCTAAATGCTAAGTATGTACTCAACTGTGAAAAGCATTTCTCATATTTTGATCTATATTAACTGTAACTGGATTAGTGAAGGTTTTCTGTAATAATAAATTATGAAATCCAACTTCTTCCCTAGAAATTTTATTTCTAATTCTATCCCTTATCATAAACCATGTCTAAAACACCTTTGAGGGTTCATACCAATATATGGGGGTTTCAAAGTAAAATGAGAGCTGAAATCACAACCAGATACCTCACTGAACATGTACAACTTTTCTTCCACACAGATGTATGGGTGTAAGGGGTGGGCCATAAGATCTGGCCCTTGCACCACAACCTTGGATGATCCATTGTGCTTCACCTTGGATTAACCCTTTATTAATCCTACACTTTGAATGAAATGTAGGACTTTACTTATGGAGGCACCATAAAAGTCACTTGGTTCCATGAAGAACTGACCCAGGTGACAAAATCTTACGTAAGCTATGGCCTCACCATCACATAAGATGTGTGTGGCTGATTTGTCTTCCTGTATGCACCTTTCACAGGTTGGGTCATCTGTCAGTCCCAGTTTGGAAAGGTGTCCTTTTAGGTGGCAGTGTCCTGTAAGTAATCCTACCACCCATCTGAGTTGATCTCTGTTTAATTTTAACAGGCCCTTTGTTCTTCTGGCAGAGGGCCCTGATATAAATCCCTTTGCCTGTTTGAGCCCAGTTATGGAATTCCAGTGTTTTTTGTGATTTCTGTTAGTCCAGTCCATGATCGCTTTCTTGGCAACTCCAACTGAGATGCCACAAGCTGGTTCAGATCCCATTTAGATCCTGTTCTTGCCAGTTAATCTGCGGTTTCATTCCCAGCAATACTCTCCTACTCAGATGCTGCAAGCTGGTTCAGGTTCTATAAATGACTGTTCAGATCCTGTTCTTGCTAGCAGGTCTGCGGTTTGATTCCCTGCAACACTCTCCTACTGAGTTGCCACAAGCTGGTACAGGTCTTATGAACGGCTGTTCAGATCCTGTTCTTGCTAGTTGATCTGCGGTTTCATTCCCAGCAATACTCTCCTACTCAGATGCCGCAAGCTGTTCAGATCCCGTTTTTGCCAGCTGATCTGTGGTTTCATTCCCTGTAATACTCTCCTACTGAGATGCCACAAGTTGGTTCAGGTCTTATGAACGGCTGTTCAGATCCTGTTCTTGCTAGTTGATCTGCGGTTTCATTCCCAGCAATACTCTCCTACTGAGATGCCGCAAGCTGTTCAGATCCCGTTTTTGCCAGCTGATCTGCGGTTTCATTCCCAGCAATACACTCCTACTGACATGCCACAAGCTGGTTCAGGTCATATCAACGGCTGTTCAGATCCTGTTCTTGCTAGTTGATCTGCGGTTTCATTCCCAGCAATGCTCTCCTACTGAGATGCCGCAAGCTGTTCAGATCCCGTTTTTGCCAGCTGATCTGCAGTTTCATTCCCAGCAATACTCTCCTACTGACACGCCGCAAGCTGGTTCAGGTGCTATGAACGGCTGTTCAGATCCTGTTCTTGCTAGTTGATCTGCGGTTTCATTCCCAGCAATACTCTCCTACTGACACGCCGCAAGCTGGTTCGAGTCCTATGAACGGCTGTTCAGATCCCGTTCTTGCCAGCTGATCTGCGGTTTCATTCCCAGCAATACTCTCATGACCTGGCACCCATGTCAGCTGAACTCTGTTATGTCTGGCCAGTTGTATGACGGATTGGTGGCAGTCCCAAACCATTTTTATGAAGTGATTTTATGTGTACCCAGTGCTTTAATTGCAGCTTGACTGTCTGATAGGATATATGTAGATGTTCCTATTTCTATACAGTCAACTCTCGATTATCCGGGCTAATGGTGGGGATGGAAGTCACGGTTAATCGAAAACCCGGTTAAGCCAAATTTTATTATACGGGCTGGACGACTGTGAAGGGTCGGAGTTCGAGTCCCGGTAGGGTCAAGAATTTTAACTTCTCCAAATCGTCCAGACCGGCTCTGGGGTCCATCCAACCTCCTATCCAATGGGTACCGGGGGCTCTTTCCCCGGGGGTAAAGCGGCCGGGGCGTGAAGCTGACCACTCACCTCCAACTAGTGCCGAGGTCAAGAAAAT